CGACAATAAAGTTTAATGTTGGATATATCCGAACCATATCCAAACTTACAGCTGTTGGAGATTGGAGAGTCCATTCCATGTACCTGCGGAAATCGACTCAAGGGGAAGATTCTCCAAGCGACTGTCGAATCAAATGAAGAACAGCAAAGTTGAAATATTGTACCAAATAGTTATATTACAATAGGAAAAAAAACTCTTAATATTACTTGGCAAAATTAAAGTTGCATCATACTCGTGCACCTAAAGAATTTTTTTTTTCCTCCAGACGAATTTTCAATGTGTATAATTAGCTCGAGCGGAAAAAAAATCCGGTTTGGGTGACGGAATTCTGGGTTTTCATTTTGCGCAAAAAGTAATGAGCCCGCCCTGCGAGATCCGAAAATAATTCGAATCATGTGAAGAAATAATTGAATAACTAATCATGGGTGGATTTCGTTGTTCGATATCTCTTTCAAAAGTGAGTAACTATTGATATTGCTAAAAAATATTAATTGACAAAATAACAAATATTTTTCCTACGGAAACTCGAAAATAGCATAAGGAACGCATCTTTTATCATTCTGATTCATGCCATAACGTAGTGAAAGTTACTCTTACATAATCCATTACAGATTGATGTGGCTTTTTTTTCGAATAGAGCCCTGGATAAAATAGCCTTTTGTCATTGCCTTTTCCCGTGCAATACAAAATTATTTCCTATAAAAATCGGTCTGAGTTCGTATAGTTTTGACAAATACGCCTGTCAGTATTTCTTTTCTTGCTGTGTAGACTGGTTCCTGCTCCTCTCAGGATCCATAACGTAGGGATCCATCGGGGCCTTTCATTTGCTTTTTTTTTATCATGTGCCCTTTGGCTCAGAATGTCTATACGAAACCGATTAAGACGTGTGGTTCATATGCAATACATGTATGTAGAAACATCAGTAAAGGTAATTTAGCGACAACTGCAATTCTGCAAACTATACTTAAAAAGGGAGCCGTAAAGACATTGCCCATGATCCAATATTGTTGTTGCTGAAACAGCTTTTTTATTGTGAGATTGATATGTTTTTAGTGTGAGATTGAATACCATTCAAATAGCTTGCAATTCAATTAAATTGCCTGTACGGTATGAACATAGATTTCCCATTCTTTTTTTTTGAAACATTGGACAGATTTAGAATTATTCATTTCTCCCACAAAATAGGGCGTTACGATTAATTCGTGAAAAATCAACATTTGAATTAGAATATTCTAAATCAAAGGAAGTGTTGCAAAGTAAATAATAAATACATGAACAAAGATTTTGCGGAAGAAGTTAATTACTCCAAAATAAACTCAAGCATATCAGTGCTGGCAATAAAGAGAACACGCCTAATAAAGACAAAAATCGGATAAATTAGATGAATACCTGATTATTAAAAACGAATTGTAATGAACTGGGTTTTTGTGTGTGTGTGTTTTGTTGCTAATATCTGCCGTGACTCTGAAAACGTGTTGAGGGAAATAGCACAAGAAAAATTACACGAAAGACTACAGGGAATGAAATTCCATCGGACAGGGTCATCTTTGTGTGATTCTGATTAAACCACTAACATATCTTAACGACTTTAAAATCAATTTACAACCATATTCGTTGCATCAGTTATTCATTAACAACGACAATAAAGTGTAATGTTGGATATATCCGAACCATATCCAAAACTTACAGGCTGTTGAGATTGGAGAGTCCATCGAATGAACTGGGGTAAATCGTCTCAAGGGGAACATCCCTCAAGGTTCTGTCGAATCAAATGAAGAACGGCAAAGTTGAAATATTCTGCCAAATATTTACATTTCAATAGGGAAGAACACTCTTAATATTACTTGGCAAAGTAAAAGTTGCATCATACTCGTGCACCTAAAGAAGGTTTTTTTCCCCTCCAGACGAATTATCGATGTGTATAATTAGTTCGAGCGGAAAAAATAATCCGGTTTTGGTGACGGAATTCTGGGTTTTCATTTTGCGCATAAAATAATGAGCCCGCCATGCGAGATCCGAAAATAATTCGAATTATGTGAAGAAATAATTGAATAACTAATCATGGGTGGATTTCGTTGTTCGATATCTCTTTCAAAAGTGAGTAACTTTTTATATTGCTAGAAAAATATTAATTGAAAAAATAACAAATATTTTTCGTGGGGAAACTCGAAAATAGCATAAGGAACGCATCTTTTATCATTCCGATTCATGCCATAACGTGGTGAAAGTTACTCTTACATATTCCATTACAGATTGAAGTGGCTTTTTTTTTCGAATAGAGCCCTGAATAAAATGTCATTTGTCATTGCCTTTTCCCGTGCAATACAAAATTTATTTTCTATAAAAGTCGGCCTTAGTTCGTTTAGTTTCACAAATACGCCTATCAGTATTTCATTTCTTGCAGTGTAGACTGGTTCCTGCTCCTCTCAGGATCCATAACGTAGGGACCCATTGGGCCTTTCATTTGCTTTTTTTTTATCATGTGCCACTTGGCTCAGAATATCTATGCAAAACCCATTAAGACCTATTAATCTAGAAACATCCATAACAGGATCCATAACGTAGGGATCGGGAACCAGGCTACTCACAGGGCGGGTCTTTTAAGCCACAAACTCAAACGCCCGTAATAGATACTAAACACTTACAGGATTGTGAGAAGAGAAAATCCGTTGAATATGCCTGGCTCCAGATGTGAGATATTGCCATCAAATAGCCACCTGTAGAAAATCGTGGATCGATAATAAAATGCATTGGTGGGTTGGACAGAATTAGTAATTGATTCAGATAATTTGTCCCATTCCGATACACACGTATTACACTTGCATTTGCAGTGCAATTTGTAACACTCATGCGTTCATTATTGCATTCCATATATCCCAACACTGGGGGGGGGGGGGGGGGGGGGGGGAGGAGGAGGGGGGGGGCGAGGGGGAGGGGGGGCGGGGGGGGGGGGGAGATCAATATAAGAGTAATCTACACGGACGTGGCTGAGGTGTGAGCCCGGGGGCCCCTGGTTTCGATTAAGCACAGAGGCTCATGGCGATCAGGTGTGCGACAGTAAAGTTTAAGCCCCAAGCCCCCCCCCCCCTCCCGCCCCAGCTAGGGGTTAAAAGCAACCACCACAGGCAGCAGCATGAGGCAGACGGATGAGAACTTGATGTGCCAACCACACCTCGATGAGGGTGCTGGCGGATGGGTCAACGTGGCAAAACCAACAGCAGCACTCAACGGTCCAGTTAGCGGACATTGCTATAAAATAAGTACGGTCCAGGGTCGAGGTAGTGACTCGTCTTCAAAATACTCGGAGGAAAGGAGCTTGGGTTTCTACCTCTGTATTCTCCCCAAGAACATGACTACGACGTCCTATTCGAACAGCAGACACAACGGCGTAAAGGGCAGCCAGGCCGCTTCATCGGGGGTGCGGGTGCCTCACCCGGTAGGGATTTGCTGGTCACGCAGGACATCCTAGACATAATCGGACTACCGCGTATCGATGTTCAGGGTGTATGAAAAAAAAAGGTAATCCAAAAACAACGGGCTGCAGTGCAAAAATTGAACACCATTGATTGCAAAACAAAGACCAAAAAACCTCTTTTTCCAAGTTTGCTGAATAAGTGGTGAGTAAAGCTGTCGGAGGAATGTGCTGTCGAAGCTGTGGACAGTGCGGTAAAAGGAGGTATGCCAATTAATGGTACCTTAGGTTGTCCATTAATAATTAGTCATTCCAAAGATTTGTCATCACTTACTATAGCAATGAAATTTCAAATCTTTAAAACATAGCTTGCAATGAGCATAGCCAAAGCCATGCCAAGTTGGATGATAACGCCCAAGCTAAAGTTTTGAGTACATTTTTGCATTAGGTAGTTATTATTTTAATGAGTAATTAGTAAACAACAAACTGAAATAATTGATTTAAAGCTAGCTATATTCCATCATTTGCAGCCATCCGAAAAAGTAACTGGCGTATTATTGTTGAAAAACATACTTGGTTGAAAGATAGTAAGTGGACTAAACTCCCTGAGAAATTCATCTTTCTGGCAAGCTATCATTTTGAAGAAATCAACGAAAGAAGGCCTTTCCAACGGTGCGTCTTAAGACGCACCCGTAGGAAAATTTAAATTAGTAGTTCGTTTTGTTATTCGGCGCAGCGCGCGCAAGCATTGGCACGACGCACAGGCGCGCGCGGTTGCTATAATTCGTCGGATCAGTGCGCGACATCGCGTATAGCTGCAATTCAAAACAATTCAAAACATGATTCAGCAACTTTTGATTTAAAATTGAGATCCTAGAATGCTGTTTTTCTCGGAATATACAGCTGAAGCTCAAGGGCGGATCTCGAACCCAATTTTTTTGGGGGGGCCAACAAAAAATTGTGTCTCCCAAAAAGTGGGTCAAAAAATTACGACGTGGGGTTCGGGGCCCGCTTAAGGGCCTCGAAATTTTTTTGGATTCTCGATGCTCTGTGGTGCGATCTAAGGCAATTTCTGACCACTTTAGCCAATGTTTTTTGAGGAAAAGATGGTGGTGTACTCATTGCCTGCCTTTATTGCGACGTCACATAAAAAAAAACCAATTGGTTTCGGGGTTTTTTTTGGGGGGGGGATGGCCCCCTTTGCCCCCCCCCCCGGATCCGCCCTTGCTGAAGCTGAGCTGAAACTTCATCAGGTAAGTTGTTCAGTATCCTTCATTAGATTTTGAACACTTTCGTTGCTTCAAACGAACAAAATGCACAAATTACAAATGATGGACTATATCTTTAAAGTCCGAGACAGGATGAACCTAAGGAGAGTGATGCCAACACCATTGAGCTAGAAGAATATTTCCTGAAGCTCACTCAACCGGTTTACAGAAGCCGCTGATCAGGTGCTACTGCGAACTATCAGGGCGGCAAATCACGACTGAAGGACGTCCCATCGGATATTGGAGCTGATGGACGAACAGAGTAAAGTAAACGGCGCCGGAATCGTAAATCCGTACTTGAACGAGTAGACCCACAGAAGATGCACGATACGGTTCGGCAGGTGACGGGAGAAGAAAAGGCGAAGCTGTTCGAGGCGAAGGACGGCATCATCGTTGTGGAACAGAAGGGGATTCTGATGAGGTGGCAAAAGTCGATGATCTATTCGCAGATAACAGGGGAGAGAGACCGACGGTTCGGAAGGGTGCACCGACGAGGTAGAGAAGGCGCTGGAGACTGGCAAGGCAGCTGGTTAAGATGGAGTCGTCGTAGATGATGCTCGTCGTACTGGGTGACATCGGTGTCGATCGGTTAACGCGGCTTGCAAACAGAATCTGCGACGAAGGTCGGTTTCCCCATGAGATTTGCAAATCTGTGTACATCATTTTTCCGAAGAAAAACCGCGAGTAACGGGATGCAAACGACATCGAACGATCAGCTTAATGAGTCATTTCTTGAAACTAGTCCTTCGTATCATGCTGGACAGATTGCGAGAACGAAGAACCGTAGAAGAGCGGTACGGCTTCACACCGGATAAAGACACGCGAAACGCTATCTTCATTCGACTGAGTGCGCCAAGAACCCCTGGTCGAAATGCTTATCGACGCACTCGATATTGCATTGACAGACAGGTGCATATGGAGCTGATTAAGAACATGATAAAAGGAAGTCTCCTAACAGACAGTAAGACCGAATGGCGTCTTGAGTGAAGTATGTGAAGATAAAGAGCGCTGTGAGGCAAGTATTATGCGTTTGATCACCAGACCTATTTTCCCTGGCTTTTGCGGAGATGCTACGAACTGCATAGGTCGACAGAGTGTGCAACCGGGCGGTTCTGCAACGCACTGGAACGTCTGATCTTGGTAGCTGATGGCAATCATTTTGAACTGACACTTAAACGCTTCCTGGGACAAGACATTCGAAAAGGAAAATTCAAAGATTTGGCCATCAATGGAAAGATCGAGGGTAAACGAGCAGGAGACGACAGCGACTCATGTACCTGCACTGGCTGGAAAAAGTTCACGAGAGTCTAACTGCTGGACATTGTCCGACTTAACAAACAGCGCAAGGAGACCATAATATCTTGTCCACAGCTTCGGATAAACCTAGTATTTCAATTTCGAACATTGATGACCATGATTTTTAAACGCGAATTTAATGTATACTTTAATTGTAATGCACACAATTTATCTCAATCCGTCAAATTGGGTACATCGTGTGCCCGGGAGAAAAGCATACGAACGTTCTGACCTAAAAAAAAAAAAACACTTTAAGAACATTGCATTGAAAAGCTCCAACGGTTCCCAAGCTCCTCGCAAATTATAAATCCAATGTTCTCCCGCGCGTATTATAACATTTATGAAGCATAATTTTTGGAAAAAATTGAGTTAATTTCTTAAGAAAATGTTGAAATTTTATTAAAATAGACGCAATGTTCTGCAACCAGTCTACTAGATTTGGGTGATTTCGCGTTCGCACGTGAGGGCGCATACGCCCCTTTGCCGGGCACACGACGGTTCTTGGTTCTCATTGAAAATCCTGATATTACTGTCTTCCGTTATTGTGTTGCAGAGGAAATCAATTTTACCAATTAATTTCGATTCTTCTCATTGTTATTTATATATGAGAAGAACCAATGACAGAATAAAGAAAATAAGAGTTCACTTTAGCAGTTTGAATTTTTTAAACAGTTTAAGTGTGCGAAATGTTTCATCTAACAAGTAAAGTATAGGCTTGTTTCTTACATAACTTCTATTCCATGGTCGATGCTTTGGAAGCTTTCAAGATTCCAATCGCCATCACAGACAACGGAAGTAGAGAATTGCCAACAGCGTGAACGGGGAGAACCTGTTACGGCACAAAAATGAAAAGAACCAACATTATTGTCATCGTTGATTGGATTGTAGAATCTCAAGGTGAGAAATGGTTTCCATTTCGTTACACAAAATGAAACTTCCTCTGAGGTCAATCTTTGAATGATTGGAATGTTCTTCTTTTTGTAACCGGTGTCATTGACACGGCCTTCAGTGATCAGTGTGACATCATGCACCAACTTTCATTGCACCCCGGCTCGACCTATGCCCCAAGATATAAGCAAAATAATTGTCTATATACCAAGATTTTTTTTTAAAGATGTTCTGTCCGGGCCATTTTCGAGCATCAACACAAGAAAACACCAAATAGTTTTGGAATATTTACTTCACACTTTTGAATTATTTGCGGCCCCGACACTCGTCGACTGGTTCCCGCCTCTATATCAGAAACGATCATAATTATGGGGACAGGCAACCAGTCTGCTCGCAGGGCGGATCTGTTTGTGCGCAATAACGATCCAAAAACCTTTTCTCAAGGGGGTTGCAGCTGTCAAAAATAGGGGGAAATTTTAATCGTTTGAACAGAGGATTCAAGATGGCTATACATAAAGATAAAAAAGGAATTTGTTAAACAGCTCGGACAGTACATCTTTAATATTGTCTTAAAACTTGCTGATTTCAAGAAAATAGACCTAAGACGTAATGACGTCATGCTTTGCGCTTTCCTACGGGGAAGAGATCCACAAAGCTCCAATGGAAAGCGCACATGACTTTGTAAACAAAGCGTGACGTCATTGTGTCTCATGTCTATTGAATATGTTAGAGTAACAAATACAAGCATGATTTATATTATTATTTCCAACTCATCATGGAGAGCTTATCCAATTTGCCGGAGGTGGGGGTTTAGGGAGGGGGTATACTCAATGAGTTTGAACGATTAAAAGCTCATGCTTGCTCCCCCCCCCCCCCCCCCCCCCCCCAATTAAGGATGGTATACGGAGGCCTCCCCTTAGTACGCCACTGAGTGTCCATGCATGAAAGTTTCATTCGAGGAATATACCAACGAGTGATCCAAAAAGAGGCAAACTGACAAACATTTGGTTTTCATGATATAATTTGTTGTATATAACTGCTTTTTGGTGTGTTTTGATTAGGTTGGCACTTCTCTTATATAGCTGTGGTTATTCTCCAGTGTATCCATTCCAATACTTGGACCAAGATATATTTATCAGGACTCGGACTTGACTCAAATGACTCGTACTCAAATGACTCGTGACTCGGACTTGAACCAAACGACCCGAGACGGACTCGACTCAAGTGACTCAACTACAACACTGGTGTACAGTATCATACAATCTAACAACTCTGGTGTCAAATTGACCCCGATATGAGTCTATATCTGCACAGTCCGTTTCAGGGTAAAAAACCCCGTTTTTTCTAGGTCAAATGATCCAGAGAAATGTAATTTTTAACCCGAAAAAAAGTTCATTTTTACCAGAAAAGGGTAAATTTTGACCCGGAAAATGGTTGTGCGGATATAGACGGGTCAATTCTGGGTCAATTTTGACCAGGGAGTTTTTACAGTGTACTTAGAACGGAGTGAAGTTTCAAAACGAATGTGATTGCCCAAATTTAATCCATTCACCGGCGAACTTCTAATATCAACAAGATTTTCGTCTTCGCCCATGGATTCTGATGAATTGATAGTCCATCCGAGAGAAGCAGACAGATGATAATGTCATTATCGTTATCAGGGGATGTAAAATGAATCCACAAATTGTGAAAAGACAAAGGGATAGATCATATAAATTTCGTCGAGTTGGAGCAAACGAATCGTGAACTTCTGGGAAATCTATGATAGGCGATTTCATTTTCGGAGACAGTAAAGATTTCATCACCTTACCATCAATGGAAGATTCCCAACTATACTGCGCACACGAGGTGGTACACAGCATGAATGCGATGGTGGCCAGCAAGGACAACGATGAACAACCCCAACCCATCGTAGAAGTGCTGAAGCTGTGTCGTCAATCACTACAAGTGAAAAAAGTTTGTTTCCATAAATACACCTGGCTGAACAGGGGGGGGGGGGAGGGGGGTGCAAATGAGTTTGAAATTATTGGATGCGCGTTTAATGAGTCAATTTAACATGAAGCTTTTATTTTCTCATTTTCTACAACTTTTTTTTCAAATCAGAAAAATGTAAAAGAGTTGAACCTGGCTCGAAAAAAATGGAAACATAAAGTTGGCTCATGTTAAACGATACTGGCCCTTTTTAGCCGCACCCCCCCCCCCCCCCCGAAAAAGACACGAACCGGCAAGAGATTACAAAAATGATTCGTTGATTTTGCATAGATGTCTTATATTAAGCTTTGTTAGCATGGTGTCGATAGTTTACAAACTCTTCTTTAAAATCCATCTTTCCTCCTTACTTTCATGGATGCCCGAAACCAAATTGATTTTTAAAAAAATGAAGTTCGCAGTGGCGAGATGGATACCTACAATGTCTTGAAACTGTGCACTGTGTGTTGAATCAAGTCGGATCCAGAACACAATTTTTGGGGGGCCAAAAAAAAATTTGGTCCCCCAACAAAGTGGGTCAAAAAAATTACGGCGTGGGGTTCCGGGCCTGCTTAAGGGCCCCGAAATTTTTGGATTCTAGATGCTCTGTGGTGCGATCTGACGCAATTTCTGACCACTTTAACCACTGACCACTTTTTTTTTTGAGGAAAAGATGGTGGTGTACTCATTGCCTGCCTTTATTGCGATGTCACCTTAAAAAAAAAATGGTTTCTTTTTTTTTGGGGGGGGGGATGGCCCCCTTGCCCCCCCCCCCCCGGATCCGCCCTTGTGGTGAATAGGAGTACGCTAGTGCACACAATGTACCCGTTCTGCTCTGCATGAATAAGTACTTTATTTAAGACATTTTCTATTTAGCATTAAAATATAGCTAACCCATTGCCAAAGAGTATTGACAAAAGAAGGTTTATTCTGATGCTAAACATTGGAGTAAACATATATGCATTTTGGCAAGGAAAAATACTCATTTAATTTCATTGGTCAGAAATATTTTTTTCGGTAATTCATGTCTGAGTGGACAACTCATTTTACCAATGAATCGGAACAACGTGAATAAAGGACTTTAGTCTTTGTTTTGAAATAAATTATTTTTAGTCATAAAATTAATGACGGCATGGACGCAATTGCGGTGATCCAACCTTACTGACAATGCCCAAGTTCATAACTTTCAAGAACTAACTCATTCTTAGTTTTGGGTGGGGATGATAAACCCTGTACATCTACTTTAAGTAATAATGCTTATTTAATTACATTGGTATCAATTCGTTATTGGAATACGTTATTGTGCTCCTGACTGACTGACAACACAATTTTGTTTTTTTAAA